AATTATATCCGAAATACGAAATTCCGTTAACGAATTTCGGATCCGAATTTCTTTGAAACAGGAACTAATAGTACCCCTGTAAATGAGGTTGAACAACATGACAAGATTTTTTTTTAATCCGAGATACGGATCCGCTGCTGCTGATGCATTACAATACACAGTTACATATACAGGCAGGAAATACGAAATTCCGTTGACGTATTTTCGTTCCGTTACGAACATTCGTTATATTGAAGGTAAAAAGCAAAGTACATTTATATTGGAGTTGATGGTAGTTTTTTTTAAAGTCCGAAATACGGAATTCGGATCCGGAATCCGTTAACTGAATTCGTATTTCGTTTTGGTTGACCAATCAGAGGTTCTCTTCTGCTGCGGAGAGTTGCATTACAAATACAGGCAGGAAATACGAAAATTCCGTTACGGACATTCGTTATATTGAAGTTAAAAAGCAAAATACCTTTGTTAATATATTGGAGTTGATGGGTTTTTTTTTAATACGAAATTCGGATTCGGAATTCGTTAACGGAATTCGTATTTCGGATAAAAAAAAACAACTACCACATCGACTCCAATATTAACAAAGGTATTTTGCTTTTTAACTTCATCATAACGAATGTTCGTAAAGTTACGAAAATATAACCGCCACTAACGAAAATTCGTATTTCGTACGAATCCGAATTGAGTTCAGTTACAAATTACGAAATAACGGATATTCCGAAACGAAAGAACAAATTTGTTGACGGCGCACAAGTCTAGTAACAGACCAGTCACTGCTGCTCTCTCTCTCTCCTTGTGTAGGTGACTGGTCTTGTCTCCACCCCCTCCTGTAATAAAGAACACTCACTGCTGCTTCTCTCTCTCTCCTTGTGCAGGGTGACTGGTCTTGTCTCCGCCCCCTCCTGTAATTAAGACCGCTCACTGCTGCTCTCTCCTTGTGCAGGGTGACTGGTCTTGTCTCCGCCCCCTCCTGTAATTAAGACCGCTCACTGCTGCTCTCTCCTTGTGCAGGGTGACTGGTCTTGTCTCCGCCCCCTCCTGTAATTAAGACCGCTCACTGCTGCTCTCTCCTTGTGCAGGGTGACTGGTCTTGTCTCTGCTCCTCCTGTAGTTTTCTGCAGCTAGACTGTAGCAGGCGGAGCCTATATCATCTTGTATATCCTTTGTGGTTATTGAGGAATGTTTTTATGTAAACTAATTATCTTTCTACCTGGAGTCTGGCTTTAAGGTGCATGTCCAGCCAAGACCTTTTTTTTTGTCTTTTTTTAGTGAAGGAAGGATTAGATTCCCTGTAAGGTTTTTCCTGACTTTTGGGGCTCTGTTAAGATTTCCCATCATATACTGTCCTGATCACAACAGTCTGTCAGACAGGAAGTATAGGAGGGAAAATAACCAACAGTAACATAGAAATGAAGAGATGGGGATTCAATGTTTTGCGTATGTCCCTTCGTAGATTTTAACCTTATTTTCCTGTCGTCACCTTGGCAGGAAGTAAGGGGGAATAACAGCGCACTAGATAGCAGGGGTCCTAAGCTATCGCTATGCTATCCAGAACTAAACAAAAATAAACCCTTTTTGACTGTATATACCCTTTAAGGTGTATTTTTTGTTGTTGTTCTTTCTACCCATAGCTGGTTCCAGTTCGGGGGGTGTAAGCCGAGTGGAGATGAGTATGTCCGACGTTCAGTGTCACCTCGATAAAGAAGGGGCTTCGGATCTGGTCATCGACCTCATCATGAATGCCACCACCGACCGCGTGTTTCACTAAATATCCTGTATGATTCGGGGTGTTCCCCCTCCTGCCTGCAGCTTCCTGGGTATTGCGCCGGACTACAAATAGCTGCCTCTGTTATGTCTGGGCGCGGAGGGTCAAGCTTCTCAAAGATGTATTCCCCTGAATCATTCTCTGTGACCAAAATAACCCGATTCGCATTAACAAGCGAATTCCGGCTAAGGATGTTTTCTCATTTTTGTCTGCGTCTCAGAAGGAAAATTTCCCCTAAAAACCACAATTTATATACAAATGGAACTTTTTTTCAGACTTTCACTGCCTCCTGATATGGCTACTTTGTATCGTTGTATCGTTTCCAATGAGGCCTCCATTCACACTGCCGCGCGTACGTGCGTATTGTACCACAGGCAACCTATGCAAATGGCGCCATGCACACAGCCGCGTATAAAGCCGTATATTTGCGTAGCGTATATATGCGCAAAAACAGAATAACAGATGCATCAGGGCTGCGCATTTACGGGTCTATACGCGTGTACATGCGTACAGCACATTCAAATTTCCATTACGAGTGATGCATTCTGGGATTGCATATAGTGCACGCATAGACGCGTATAGACGCAATATACAATTTTGCTTGCGTTGTGAGTGAATGAGGCCTAACAGATTGAAAAGAACATCCGCTGAAGTTTAACCGCTTGCTGACCGGGGTGTTACACCCCCTTCCTGTCCCGGCCATTTTACAGTATTCAGCGCTGCGGTACTTTGACATTTATTCCGTCATGCAGCGCTGAATACTGAAATTTAATTTTATACCATTTTTTTGGGGACAGATAGAGCTTTATTTTGGTGGGATTTAATCACCACTGTTTTTTTGTTTGTTTTTTTCTTGTTTTTTTTTTACTGTATAATTTAAAAAAGGTACTGAAAATTTTGGAAAAAAAAAACCTGTTCTCTCTACGTTATGTTATAAAAACATTTATTATTACCCAATTTTTTTGGTAAAATATAAAAGACGGGGTCACGTCGGGTAAATAGACACCAAACATCTCAAGCTTTAAAATTGCGCGCACCCGTTAAATCGCAAAAAAACTACCATACTTAAAATTGACCACAGCCGGTGCTTTAAAAGCTTTTACCGCTCATCAGTTTAGTGTTATCAGTGATTGATGGCCCGAGAATTATTGCTCTCATTCCGACGTTCGCGGCGATATGTAACATGTGCGGCGCAATGGATTTCGCGCATAGGGGGGGCTTAACGCATGTTTGCGTGTGGGGGCGGAGGACATCATTTTTTTTTTTTTTATTGCTTTGATATGTGACTTTTTTTTTGTAACACGTTTTTTTAAACCTTTTTTTTTTCACTGAACTTTATTGCTATTACATAGAGAGCAAACAAGCTCCCTATGTGATAGCCCATTTGCAGTGACTGGTCCTCTTTATGGAGACATCAGGGGTCTGTTTACATTCAAAGCCGGTTTCCCGCTCGTGCGTGCCGCCTAGCGGAAGGGCCCCCCCTTTCACACAACTGTCGAGCTCTTGGTCCATGACGGAGTGCCCGACTCTTCACTGGTAGGTCAGTCATTTTGGTGTCACCCAGTGTGGGCCGCACCCCCCTTGTGACACCGCTGCTGCTTTCCCATGTTTTGCACATCTCATGAACTCATTGAAATCAATGTGGACACATGCCAACTGTGGGAGACAAATGCGCAGGAACGCACGTCATTGCGACAATCAGGTGTGAACGAGGACTAAATCCCCTTAAAGGTGCTTTTTCTTGTTTTCTGTGTGTGTTGCACGCACCTCCTGTGCATTACTGTGCCCCAGGTACATTGGCATTCATTTGAATTAATGTATTTGATTGGCATCCTGACGCCCCCCCCTGCCCCCGGCCACCATGCACTGCAATGTGTGTTAAGGCAATATCGTGTGTTGTGCAAAACAATAATGCATGTGCTACTTTTTTTCACAGCAACGCACTGCACGATATTGTGGGGCCACTCTTATGCACAGCAGCTGGGTGGTGTGTTGGGGTGCCATTCAAATGAATGGCAATGCACCAAGCGCACGGTAACGCACACTAGGTCTGTTGTGCAACAGCGTTCGGTAATCTTGCGGTTTCGTGCAATTGACGCTGCACTTAGGTAGGAACGCGGGGCCCTAAATGGGTGGTGGGCGAGGATCATCAATACAAAGTAAAACAGCGTGAATGGGGGGGCGGTGGAGGGGGACCCATGGAAAGTGTTGAGCAGGCCTGTCTTTAATATTGATTGGACCCTGGGCAAACATTTTCTTGGGGCCCCCCTTCCCTTAATTGCCATGCCCCCGCCTAACAACGTCCTCCTCCGGGAGAGCAAATAGGAGGAGACGTGACCCCGCGTGGGACGTCATGCTACGTGGCGTACGGAAGGGGAGGGGCAACACTTTGCGGTGGCATTGTAAACGGAATGGTGTCGTGTGTGTATCTTTTGCAGGCTCAAGGGGCAGCTGCTTTGGACCCCACAGCAATGACCAGGCCGGGGGGCAACTGCCCCTTTTGCCCCGCGTTAAAGACGGCCCCGGTGTTGAGTTCACCTTTTTCATGTTTTTGTGAAAAGGTGAACTACCTCACGACACCCCCTCGCCCTCCACAGTCCCTCCTCCATCTCCGTCTCTGCTGTTCTAATCTGTAATGACGACGACCCTCGCCCCCACCACCCATGCCAGCCCCTAGAACGCTCCGCGCATTATAGCGAGGGGGCTGTACAGCAACATAGCCATAGAAATGGGTAGCAGTGATTGGGGCGGCTGCACTGACCCATGAGAATCTCTTCTCCTGGGATGATCGGCCATGGTCTTCTGCATTGCATAATGAAGCGCATGGACCCAATGATGACGTCACTGGGTCTAAACTAAGATATGCGACGACATTTTTAAAAGACCCCTTTTCGGGTTTCATTAGCATGCTCATTAGGAGGAGAAGAAACCAAAAGAAAAAGCCAAATCTAAACAGATTGAACTTCAGCTTAAAGGAGAACGATGGGGTCGGGGCTTTTCCCCATAGTTCTCCTTAGGGTAACGGGAGAACACAAACTAGCGTCCTCCCGTCACCCAAAGCTCAGTATATAGGGAGCTACAGCTCGCGGTATACTGAGACGCCGCAGCTGAAGCGGATCCCGACAGTCAGCGCTGGCAGATCGGAGCGGAGGAGAGGGGAATCCAGCCCCTCCCCTGTCACGGCAGAGAGCCGTGACAGGATCGAGAGGTGAGCGAACGCGGGTATGTGTTCGCTCACCTCCCGATCTACTGAGCCGACCTGTGACAGTCTCATTGTCACAGGTCGGCTAGAACTATGAGGTGAGTGAAAAGCACCCCCCTCATAGTTCTCCTTTAAAGAAAAAAAATCGAGGTTCTGCAATTGTCTCTCAGAGGTCAGAAAGGTCCAATCAGTCATACTCTAACCCTAATATGCCCCTCCCCCCTCCTCCTCTGACATGTGTTTCGGCACCGTGCAGCTGGAGAGAGGTGTGTGCACTCCACGGGCAGCAGTCGCAGGTTATGTAAGGTCTATTTATATCGGCTGGCTGAAGGCAGGAGGTTTAATGAGCTGCTGACCCCATTCCCCTCTGTGCCAGGCTGTGCTGCGTGCGTCACTGCGCTCCGCTGAGCAAGACGAGCAGTTTCCATGGCTGCGCCGCTCCCCCCTGGAGACTCTATTCTCTCTCTCCCAGATAAAGGGCTTTGCCGGATTCACTCTCTGCAGCTTGCAGCAGCGTGCGCCTCCAGTCGGCTTCCTCCCAACAATACCAGACCATGCACTCCATGCTGGCCCCCGAGCTTGTTTG